CGTTTCGTGGCCCCATAGGGAGCTCCACCGAAGGCCCCATGGCTGCCGTCCGCATGCGTCCCGCACACCCATTTCGGCACACCCCTCACACGTTTCGTGGCCCCACAGGGAGCTCCACCGAAGGCCCCAGTGCTGCCGTCCGCATGCGTCCCGCACACCCATTTCGGCACACCCCTCACACGTTTCGTGGCCCCATAGGGAGCTCCACCGAAGGCCCCATGGCTGCCGTCCGCATGCGTCCCGCACACCCATTTCGGCACACCCCTCACACGTTTCGTGGCCCCACAGGGAGCTCCACCGAAGGCCCCAGTGCTGCCGTCCGCATGCGTCCCGCACACCCATTTCGGCACACCCCTCACACGTTTCGTGGCCCCATAGGGAGCTCCACCGAAGGCCCCAGTGCTGCCGTCCGCATGCGTCCCGCACACCCATTTCGGCACACCCCTCACACGTTTCGTGGCCCCATAGGGAGCTCCACCGAAGGCCCCATGGCTGCCGTCCGCATGCGTCCCGCACACCCATTTCGGCACACCCCTCACACGTTTCGTGGCCCCACAGGGAGCTCCACCGAAGGCCCCAGTGCTGCCGTCCGCATGCGTCCCGCACACCCATTTCGGCACACCCCTCACACGTTTCGTGGCCCCACAGGGAGCTCCACCGAAGGCCCCAGTGCTGCCGTCCGCATGCGTCCCGCACACCCATTTCGGCACACCCCTCACACGTTTCGTGGCCCCACAGGGAGCTCCACCGAAGGCCCCAGTGCTGCCGTCCGCATGCGTCCCGCACACCCATTTCGGCACACCCCTCACACGTTTCGTGGCCCCATAGGGAGCTCCACCGAAGGCCCCATGGCTGCCGTCCGCATGCGTCCCGCACACCCATTTCGGCACACCCCTCACACGTTTCGTGGCCCCACAGGGAGCTCCACCGAAGGCCCCATGCTGCCGTCCGCATGCGTCCCGCACACCCATTTCGGCACACCCCTCACACGTTTCGTGGCCCCCAGCTCCACCGAAGGCCCCAGGGAGCTCCACCGAAGGCCCCATGGCTGCCGTCCGCATGCGTCCCGCACACCCATTTCGGCACACCCCTCACACGTTTCGTGGCCCCACAGGGAGCTCCACCGAAGGCCCCAGTGCTGCCGTCCGCATGCGTCCCGCACACCAGGTGTGTGGCGTGCCGACATGGGCGTCGCGGCGCGCGGGCGCTGCCGTCGGGGTTCCCAGGGAAGCCCCCTGCAGAGGCGACGCTCAGAGTCACGAGTACCGAGAGTCACGCAGACCCAAACTGTTCACAGTCGTATACATACATTTACACTGGGCGTATCCATGCACGCATTCATGCGAATAGAATCAATCGCGCGCAGATTCATTCATAATCAGACTCGCTCGCGATCCGACTCGCACGCGCTCAAGCTTTCATATTCGGACCTATCGTCTTCGTTCGTGTTGTGTACACTGCCACGCATTTCGGCACACCCCTCATACGGCTCGTGGCCCCATAGGGAGCGCCACCGAAGAAGATATTCACAATTGCGGTACTCTCAACTGCATATGGTTGGGTCCTTCGCCAGGCTAATAGTTAGTTTGAAGAACCTGCTTCGGGACAGTATGCCGATTTGGCGCTCAGCAAGTGATGCCATAATGTCAGCTGACCGGGACGGCAGAATTTCTCCGACTCAAATCGTCCAGCTTATAGGTATTCTGCCCAACGAATATTGCGTGTGCAACCGTGTTTGACACGTATGGATCAATCCTTTGTACCTGTAGGATAACAATCAGCCGTTTCCAGGTGGTGATCTTTCTATCGAAAGGATGTACGAATATCGGAATGATGCATCATCTTTGAAAGATCGGTTTATCCCAAAGACCCCGTACAACTTGAAGTGTCCCGGACCGGCGCCCATCCAGGGGGTCGAGTTCTCAACAGTGTTCATGACGCAGGACATGTATCAAGCTGGGACACCTGCAAGGGGATCTGATGGATCTCGGATGCATGCCCAAAGTGCGGACGTGACAGGTATGACTTCAAGTGGCATCACTTCCACCGACGCGCTATACGCCAACGATCCGTGGCGTGCTCAGGTGCGGCAGCTACGAGTACCTGCAGGGCAACCTGCGTCGCTCGCACCTATGAGCAGAGCCACAACCCCAGTTGGGACTCCGCAGAGTGCTGGGAGCACCAATAGCCTACAGGCAAGGCCCCAAAGCACTCGGATGGACCCGCAGCTCTACCAGGCTTTACAGGCGACATCGCCATTCGCATCGCCGCGTCCACATGCGGGGAAACCAGATTTTCCTGATCATCGTGCTGTACAGAGGACCGAGAGTTTAGTTGGTCAGCAAGAGTGGATGTCCGGCAGATGCGCGAAGCCGCTCAGAGCATGCGTAGGGGCGGCGTCGACCTCCCTAGCGCCAACTGGACGCCGCCTTGGGAGTATGTTCCGGATCCAAATCCATCACCAGACAACCCCAATCGTGTTGGATACGTGTCAGCATTTTTCAGCCATCCTACATGCGATCCGACAGCTGCGGAACGCCCCGCAGCAGCACCGATGGACTTCCCATTATATCCTGAGTATCGCGCTCAGGTAAGTGGTAATCCTCGTGTGGGGACCCAACCGGGAAACCCGTATGTACGAGCGACGGCCGACGACGCCTACCAGTCTTAGTTGACGCGCGGCTCGGGTTACACGTCAGGCGTGCCTGGCCAGGTTCCTCATTATGGATATTTGGCCGCCCCAATGGATTCATATGTGCAGCAACAGGCCCCAGGCCTGGTAGTGCCATCGTCAATGGGGGAGCTGCGCCCGGAGATTCTGACCATCCATGAGGCGCAGCAGGCGAGCATTGCGATGCTATCGGCCCGCCGGCGTCGCAATCAGGAGCGTCAGGCCAACAGGATGCTGAGCCGTGCGGGGCAACCTGCTACTCCCAATGCAGCAGGGGCACCTGCAATCAACCCGCCAGCGCTTGCAGCAATGCATCTACCGACGGTCCCACCGATTCGACATGAAGTTGGTGAAACCACTCTGGAGCGCCAGGCGCTTATCAGGCCATCGGCAACACCGCCAACCATCAGCGACGATGACTGTAACAAGTGTGCCATATGCCTGGATCACTTCATGCATCACGACAGAAATCTGGAGGCTTCAGTGTGGTCACATATTTCATGCACAGTGCTGGGACCGAGTTGCACATGCTCATGTGGACAGACAGTTGGCTCGCAATATGGAAGGAACCGCAAGTGAGGCACCCTGCGCCATCTGCAGGGGCGTTGGTCTAATCACAGCTGAGTTTCAGTATGCCCTTGCTGGAGATCAGGATGCACTGGGTCGTCGTTGAGTGATACTCCGAGGGGCTAACGAACTCAGGGGCCTTCGCGAAGAGCTCAACCGCGTCACGGCGATAATGAACAACGCGGCAGCACCTACAACAACACCAGCGGGGAAACCTGCATCATCAGTCAACGCGGGGCAAGCGACGGAGGCCACCGCGCCTGCTGTGGATGCGCCCATGCCACTGATAGCGGAGACCGCCAACAATGCAGGGACACCTGCTGCAACCGCACCTGCCGCGGTGCCGGTCAATGACATGTGGTTGAGGCGTATGAAGAGAGCCACCGATAGGAGCGCTCAGTGGCTTCAGTCTCCTCATACCTAAATGCCGTACGGGCGAGACATTCGTCCGCGCGGCCAGCGCAGGACAGAGAGCCCGGTGAGCGTGCGCAGCGGCATCAGTGCGATATCCGAGCGCGACATGCTGCATGCTGCGTTGATGGTTAGCGCAGATGGTCAGACGGGCATGCGCGCTGACGAGGATACGTTCCTGAACCTGCCTGCTACATCTGCATCGCGCCCATGCGCATATGACGAATATCCTACGGCCTGGATCTTAGAGAAGAACCCCATTACGGAAGAGGAGGCCCGTGGATATGAACGTCTTTCGATCTCTGTCAAGAAACGATTGGGTGTTGGAGCAGAGGCGCCGCGGGGGCACCTGCGGTACGTCGCTGTCTGAAGTGGCAGGATTATTTGGAGAACGCCATGAATTGACTTTGGCAGCAAGCAGTGGGACCATGGTGAATAGCATGCTGACAATCCTTCTGGATATTGGCAGCAATATCAACATCATTGGTTTAAAGACGGCACAGACCTTCGAACAGGTACCCCGTTCCCACGGACACGCCAACAAGAGTCAATCTGACGAAGAGGCTCTACGTGGCAGCAGTGGGACATGGTGCCGCGAAATGTCATAAGGCCTTGCGCTGCAAGATTGCGTGCAGCGAAAGGGGGGCCCGGCGGGGATGCCTGCTGTGCCGAGACAAGATACCTACTAAGCAAACGGGGCTGAGGGTTCAGGGGGTAACCTCCCTGCTATTCTGGGTCTGAGGAGTATGTCCAACATGGGGACTATCCTGATCCTGGAGCAGGGGAACGAGAAGATGATCATCCCTGGCTCTAAGATATGCAAGGTTCTACTTGGAAAGGGTGCCAGGGTGCTTGATTTGATGAAGACTCTTGATTTGAAGGTTGACGAGTACGGGACCGCGACTGAGGATAAAGGGTCGATGTCGTTGTGTCATGGCCCCATGGGAATGGATGGGGGGGGGGGGGCAGCGGGGTTCTGGGGGGCCGCCACGGGCTCCGTAGTCTTCTGGGTTCGAGCATGTGCTGCAATTTCTACCCCAATTTCGGCCGCGTTCGCGCGTGGCCCCTCTTCACTCTCGCAGCCGCGGGCGGCCGCGCCACCGCGCCCTCCAGAGGGTGGGGGGCCGCTTCAAGCCCGCCGCCGCTGAGGGCCCGCGCCATGGGATGGCGTTGCGCCAGGTCCGCCGCCGCTGACGGCAGAGGCCGAGGCGGCGGAGGAGGGCCTCGGCGCTCGCGCTCGCTGGGCCCTGCCGGCCGAGGCCGAGGCGGCGGGGGCAGGGCCCGGCGCCGGCGCTCGGCGTCGCGGCCTGCCGGCGGAGCCCCGGCGCCGCCTGAGGGCCGCGGGCGCGGTATGAAGGCCGCCATCGAGCCGAAGGCCTGGATGGCTCCGCGCGCGGCCGACGAGCGCGACCTCGCGGGGCCGGCACCTTGCGACATTATCGAGGTGCAGGCGCGCCGCGGGCAGGCGCCAAGGTCGGGGGGAGCTGCAACGGGACCACTGGCCTTCGCACTCGTGCCAGAGGGCCGAGGTGCGAGGGATCGCCCAGACCCGAACAAAAAGGGGTTCTTCCGGCAGGCGTATTTCCTCGGGGCCGAGGACAGGGAAATCGAGGACGATGTGGGCCACGTTCGCCACGGAGCCGATCGACAGCGCCGTGTGCTCCGGCGTGTTGCATTTCTGCTCCGGCAAAGCGGCCGATTGCGAGTGGCGCTGGGGCCGTCGCAAGTTCCACCGCGTCCTCAAGTGGAGGCCGAGGGTCGATGTCGACCCAACCGGCCTCTACTTCGACTTCCCCGAGAAGATCGGAGTGCTGGGGCGGGTGGGCACCAGGGCGCCCCCTCCCGAGCGGCCCCGCGGAGGACAGAGGCCGCCTCCACTTCCGCCCCTCGCGGAGCCGCCGCCGCCAGAGGGCGGCCGCGCCCCGGGCGAGGGGCGGGAGGGCCGCGCCGCGGGGGCCCCCCTCTTCTCGGATGCGAGCGCCGGTCACGCAGTCCAAGGGGCAGGGCTGCGGGTGACCTTGCTGGCCGTGGGCGCGCTCCGGTCGAGGGCGACAGGGGCGATGGCCGCCGCTGCCGGGGCGACGCTCTGCGGGCGAAGCTCGAAGACGCCAGGGAGAGAGTGGCCCGCGAGCGACGTGGCGGCGCCTTCGGCGGGGCATCTGCGGAGGGCCCCCCCCGCAAGAGGGCCAGGGGCGACGGCGGCGACGACCGCCGCCGCCGGGGGGGCGCTCGCCTGCGACGTGCTGACGCTTTCGGGGCGGGATCTGAAGAGGCCCCCCCCGCAGGAGGGCCCAACCCACGTTTGCCGACAGGCTCTGCGAGCGGTCTGCGACCCACCGTGCCAGCGGGGCTGATGCTGGGAAGCCGCCCGCCGACGCCGAGCTCGACCTGGAGGTGGGCGATGTCAACGGGGATTTTCGCGGAGCCCCTCCCGGAGCGGCGGACCTAGCAGGGTTCGCTCGCCGTTGCCCGGGTGCGCTTCTCGAGCGGGCCCTGCAGGAGATGCAGCGGTACTTTGCACCGAGTACGGGGAGGTCACGAACTACTTGGTCAGCGTGTCCTGCCAGCGCCGCTCGAAGGGGGGCATTGGCCCGCGGTCGAGCCGCGAGCTCCTGGCGCTTTCCGAGGCGCTGGGCGCCCTCCTCTCGGGCAACGTGCCGCGCGGGTCGGGGACTTCCTTGTCCAGCGCTTCAAGGCCTTGGAGGCCTCGGTCGCGGACGGGAGTTGGGCGATTGCCAGCCACCTCGAACTTCTTCCGCAGGAGGATGTCGGCCTGTCGTCGGGCGGGGGGCGTGCGATCGCAACGCGGTCCGAGCTCCATCGCATGCGGCTCGCGGACGCAGCTTCGAAGACGCGCGGGCGGTCGCGGCCGCTCGGATAGGGGGTCGGCAGCGCCGACGGGCTAGCTCCAGCCCGCGGCGCGAGCCTGGCCCCATCGACGGGGGGGCCCCGGAGCTCCTGCGCCCGCGGGGGCCGACCCTCCGAGGGCCAGAGGGCCCCAGGGCGGGGGCCGCGAAACCCTGCGACGCCGGCTGCGTCGGGGTTGGGGCCGGGGTCGCGGCGCAGGTCGCGGAGCCGCTCCTGGGCCGAACGAGCGCCATGGCGGCGGCTGGAGTGCGAACGCCGACCCAGTTTCGGGCGCCGGCGGGGCCGAGAACGGCGGCAGGGGAGAGAGCGCCCCGCTGCTTGTGGCTCGGGGGCGCCCCAGCGCGGAGCGGGCCCATCTGACCTCCCGCGCTTCGGTGGCGCGCCTCTCCCCTGCGGATCGGCAGGCCCCGCCCGCCCCCGGCTGCCAGGGCGTGGTCGGGGGGCCTGGAAGCCCTCGCCGCGCTCGGAGTCAGCCGGATCAGAGGTGGAGGCGATCGGCATCATCGACATCGAGTGCGACAGCGACGTCAGCACGGCCGAAGGTGGTGCTCGAGCCAGGCGCGGGCTGGCCCCCCTGGAGGTGGGGAAGGTGAAGGAGCGCGAAGCCCTGCTCCGAATCGCAGCCGGCGGCGTGTGTGCAGGTCAGGTCGGGGTGGCGCTGCTGGCCGCGCTTGCCGCCCGTGACTCGCCCATCGGTTCTTGCGTGAGGCGCCGCCTCGCGGGCCAGCCATGGCAGGGAGGGGAGCGACAGCGGGATGTCCTTCCGCTTCCTGTCCCGAGGGGCGATCCGGCGGTGGAAGCGGCCCTTCAGCGAATCCACCGTGCGGACCCTGGCAAGGGCTGCCGCCGGGGGCGTGCCGAGCGAGCTCGGCAGGCTGCTATCTGCTCGTGGTCTTTGCTGTGCATTGTTACGCTGAACTGGATGTGCAGCGCCTGTGGTCGACTCTCCGGGCTGGGCTGGTGCGGGTAGAGGCCTACCCTTTCCCTTGGCGAGTGCGAGGCGTTGGTCGACAGGGTCGATGAGGAGACTGGCACGTGGGCGACGGCGCCGTCATTGGACTTCGCCGCCGTGCTGGGGCGAAAACGGCTCTCGTATCAGGGCGAAGAGGTCTCGCTCCCAGAGGCCCTCGCGCTGCAGGAGCTGCTCCCTGGGCTGCCGCCGAAGGGCGAAGCGGCCTCCGTTGACCCACTGGCGATCGCCGCGCCAGAGGTCGTTGAGGCTCTTCTGCGCCCCGAGCGCGCGTGCAACCCGGACGGGTCCTGCGTCGCGCAGCCGAGCGCCAGGGCCCATGCCAGTCCTGGGGAGTGGGCCCTCATCGTGAGGGAGCTGCTCGACAGGGGGGTTTTCGAGGAGATCGCGTTCGGCGACATCGCAGTGGTCGGCGGCCAGCCTGTCCTCAATGGCGCCTTCGGGGTCGTCAAGTCGGGCGACCCGCTGCCTCCGGCCACCCGCGTGCTGAGGCTGATCATTAACATGATCCCCAGCAACAGGGTGCAGCGACCGATCGACGGCGACATCGCCATGCTGCCGGTTGGCGGCGAGCACCACGTTGTGATTTTGGGTGACGGGGAGGTGCTCTTGTGGAGCAGCGACGACATCAAGGGGTGTTTCCACGTTTTCAGGCCCCCCGAGGTCTGGAGGCCGTGGATGGCCTTGTCGGCCCCGGTCGACCCCGTGCCCCTCGGGGGGGCCAGTGGGCCCCCCGTGTGGGTTGCCGTGGCGGTCGCCCCGATGGGCTGGCTATCCGCCGTGGGCATCGCCCAGCACCTCTCGCGCCGAATCGTTCTACAGGGAGCGCCGGGGCACGCCTGCCCGTCCGAGTCCACGGCGCTCCGGCGGGGCGCGGCTTACCCTCTGCAGCTCCACCAGCTGCCGCGGGCCTGGTGGAAGGTGTACGTCGACAACGTGGACTTCGGCGAGATCGTAGCGGAGTCGGAGGTGCGCAACTTCGTAGGCCAGGTCTCCATCGAGCAGCTGGCTGTGCGGCACTCTTTGGATCGGTGGGGCATCCGCCGCAACGAGTCGAAGGTCGTCGAGCGGGCGACGGCGGCGGTGAGCATGGGTTCCGGGGTCGACGGAGTCCGGGGCCGAGTGGCCCCATCGCTCCCCATGCTGCTCCAGCACCTCGCCTTGACCGCATGTGTGCTCACGAGGGCGGACTGCCGAGGCGTGTGGGTGGCAGCCGCAACAGGGCGGTTGTGCTTCGATTTTGGTCACTGGTGCGCTGCTTTCGGCGTCCTGGACCAAATTTGGCGTGAAATCGCCCACTGGAAGGGCCATAGGCCATTGTCCAGGCCGGGTGGCGACGAACTCATCATGGCCTGTTCGCTCGCGCCGCTGCTCGCGACCGACCTGCGCGCCCATCTTTTCCCTTGGCCGCATGCAACCGATGCATCGGAGCATGGCGGCGGCACCTGCGTTGCCGCTGGGCTGACTCGTGCCGGCTGGGAGGCGGCGTCGGAGGCTCGCCAAGCGCCGTTGGGGCATGGCGCCCGGCCCGTGCCGCCCCGGCAGGCGGCCGAAGGAGGCGCGCAGACCAGGCAGGGGGCCGAGGCCGGGGCGCGCGGCGCTCGGCCCGCGCCGTCGCTGCCGGTTTCGGTGGCGCCACAGGGGCTCATCGTCTTCGATTTTTTCGGCGGTGGCGGCGGCTGGCGGCAGGCCCGCGACCGGTTGGGAGCCGCCGTGCTGCTCGGCGTGCAGTGAGAGAAGAACCAGGTGGCGCGAGCCGTCTCTCGCGCCGCCTGGCCCGGCAGCGTCGAGTGGGTTGACGTGTCCAAGATCACCCTCGACATGGTCGTGGCCGTGCGGAGGTCGACTCCAGGGGCCACTGGCATCACGGCGTTTTGGAGACTCCCGTGCCAGGACATCTCAGGACTCGGGTGCCCCGGCATTGGCTTTGAGGGTATTTGCTCTTCCCTGTTCTGGGAGATCCCGCGGGTGTCGCAGTTCCTTCAGGTGGATTTCGGGGACCTGCCGTGGATCGACGTGGTGGAGTGCGTCGCCGGCATGGCGGCCGAGGCATGTTACCAGATTTCGGAGGGACTCGGGAGGCACCCGATTCTCATAGACGCAGCGGGGATCTCTCGGGTGCGGCGGCCCCGGCTCTACTGGTGCAACTTCCCAGTAGGGGCTGTGGCCTGCCGCCAGCAGTCGCCCATCTTCGACGCTGTTGTTCTGGCTGCCGACCCAGGGCCCGCAGAGGTTTGGCTGGAGGCGGACGCGTGCTGGGACCTCAAGTCGGGATGCAGGCTCCCGGCGTTCACGCGAGCGAGCTCTCGGGCCCAGCCGCCCCCGGCCCCCGTTGAGCTCCAGGATTGCCTGGCCCTCTAGCGGGCGATCTGGCTGGCCGACGAGTGCCGCTTCCCCCCAAACGCGTGCCGGGACCAGTTCACCGTCAAGGTTGGCGTCGGCGACCGTCGCGTCCTGCGCGCTGGTGAACGCGAGGACTTGATGGGCTTCTGGCCAGGACATGCGGCGCCTTCCAGACCTACGAGCGCTTGCGCCGACGACGCTGCGAGGTGCGCCCTGATTGGCAGCAGTTCGCATGTCGGAGTGGCCAGCTGGCTGCTCGCGCAGGGGCTGTGCGCGGCGGGCCTGATCGAGGCGCCCGTGTCTGCGACGACAGTCCAAACGGCATTCGTATCTGAGCTTCGTATGCGCCGCAGCGGCAATGTCGCACTCCGAGTGCTCCCCCTGGTAGTGGGTCGAGCCGCGGTCGAGCTCAGAAGCCCCCTGCCCGAAGAGGGGGGCGAGGTGTCTGCAGCTAGGGCCTTGATGTGCGGCCTCCTGCAGCACGCCGACCACCGTGGCTCGCGCATTCGACTGGACGTTGGCCTGCCCTTCCGGGCGAAGGCGTGGCCTCGCGCCCCCATCGCAACCGACCGGTGGCAGTGGCAGGCTGTGCTGTCTCACCAGTGGCGGTGGTTCGGCAGGCACATCGACGAGCTAGAGATGCAGGAAGTCCTCGCCGCGCTGAAGTGGTTTGCGCGGAAAGGCGACCGGCGCCATTCGCGGCTAGGTATCCTCGTCGACTCGCAGGTCGTGTTGTCGGTCTGCGCGAAGGGCCGGTCATCGTCGCGCCGACTGAACCACCTGGTCAAAAGAATCGACGCACAGATCTTGCCTTGCAGCGAGCGCCTTGGCGGCGTGAGGCTCCGGGCAGGGCGCGACGACTCTTATGTATATTCCATGCCGCCGAAAATCACTCTTGCTAGCCGTAGAAGGGAAATCCGGGCTCGGGCACGAGGTAGTATGGGGCGCCTGCAGGATTAGGTCGTTTCGGCGGGCACCCTCAAGCGCTATAGAGCGCTAGTGGACGCTTTCCGGCTCTGGCAGAGGTCGGAGCAGGAGCCGTTTGACGACCCCCAGGACGTCGACCAATCCGTTATGGAGTACCTTGAGAAGTTGTGGTCAGAGGGCGAGCCCCAAAGCTTCGCCAATGACTTAGTTGCAGGACTTCGCCACTTCATCCCGCGCCTCCGGCGCCAGCTCAACGGGAGTTGGTGTCTGTTGGGCGCGTTGGCGAGGGCAGACTTGCCAGCTCGAGCCCCCCCGCTGCCCACAGCCGTCGCCATAGGGTTGACTGGCTATGCGGCGGCCATGTATCATCTTGATGTGGGAGTGCTGTGGCTCGTTGGGTTCCATTGTTTCTTGAGGTCGGGCGAGATGCTCGGCCTCCGAGCGATGGGCGTCACTTTTGCTGACGACTTATCGAATGCTGTTCTGAACCTTGGGCTTGCGAAGACTGGCAAGCGCCAAGGCGCTACGGAGTCTGTCACAGTCACCGATCGGGTGGTCGTGCGTGCACTCCGCAGCCTGGTGCAACAGCGACGGCTGGCTGAGCCGCTCGCTCGACTGTCAGGGCCTCGCCAGAGGGCGTTGTTCAGGCAGGTCTGCGTCGAGCGCGGGCTCCGCGATCACAAATGCAGCTTGTACCTTTCAGGCGTGGCGGGGCTACTTACGATTTCAGCCACCGCGGCCAGCTTGATCGCACTATCGTGCGCGGGCGGTGGTCTAACAGCCGCACCGCACGTTTGTGCATAACTGAAGGGCTGGCGATGCTGGGCGATCTGCGCCTCTCGCCAAGCTCCAAGGCAGCGCTCTCTGTGGCCGCCTCCTTTTGGCGACCAGGCTTGGGGGTGGTGGAAGCCGGCGCGCGAGCAGGGCCCGCTGGTCTGGCGCGACGGGTGCCTCCCCCAAATGGGGTGTCTGGGCGCCCTGCCGCCACTCGAGCACCCGCGGCTTCCTAGGCACTAGCTGCCTTGCTGGCCTCCCAGGAAAAGAGAGTGTGAAGAGCACGACATCCATGTGTAATGACCCCGTGAGAATGGATGGAGGGGGCAGCGGGGTTCTGGGAGGCCGCCACGGTCTCCGTGGTCTTCTGGGCTCGCCCGCCCTCCCAGCCCGCTCGCCCCGAGCTCGAGGCTGCGCCTGATCTCTGAGAAGCCGTCGCGCGAGCGGGGCCCGCTGGTCTGGCGCGACGGGTGCACTCCCCAAACGGGGTGTTTGGGCACCCTGTCGCCATTCGAGCGCAGCTCCCTTGCTGGCCTCCCAGGAAAAGAGAGCGCGAAGAGCACGACATCTATTACTATTGCGGCCAATCATCAATGCGAGGATGACCCGCTGCTCGTCAAAGAGGCATCTGATCCAGAGCCTGCCGCGGGGGCACCTGCTGTGAGCGATGCCCATGCATATATGATGTCGCAGGATACCAAGGGCATCAGCTTCTCCATCAACGAGGAGACGTTCGTTTTCATGATCCAGTCTTTGGTGAATAACACCTTGAAGACCTGGCATCGCAGGAATACGTCCTTTGAGAACAACCCTACCTCGGCCGACCAGGACTTCGCCTTGTGCAATTTGCAGGCGAAGGTATATCAGGCCATCTACTAGGAGGGCACAAAGTGGACGCCGCCCGATACGCAGACAGGGACACCTGCGGAAGGGGATGATGCCGCTGAGAAGTTTGATATCTTTACTTCGAGCAGCGGCTCTGCAGCGCAGCATGGCACGGGCATCTGGACGCCCCCATCGCCAAGTGAGTGACGGGGGCAGGCGCGTGCCTAGGCCGCCCGCGCTTGCTCGGACAGGCCGAACACTCAGGTGCTGTCATCAAGTGCGGGGAAACCTGCGTTCTTGTCCCGGGCACCGGCTGTGCGTGCCAGGGGCAGTGGCAAGTCCGGCTGCGCGGCTGCCACGGACAGCAGTGAACCCGGCTGTGTGGCCGCTGCAGAAACAGAGTGTTTATCGCAGCGTTATCATTCTCGTGCATTTGTCCTTGGGGATATACGGACAGCTTGCGCTGAACTCCGAGCCCGTGGTTACATGTGTGACCGTACTACACGTACAGAGGCTATGACCTTCACTGGTACACAATATTTGAGTGCTTTGCTCTCGGGTGACTACCAACTGTAACGGGTGGCAACACCTGCTGATTGGTGCGTGAGACTGCTTGGAAAACGGGCAGGACCACACGATCAACGCATCCAAAACTTGATGACCAAGGCTCGGACTCTACGTATGACTATTGTGCTTGTGGGGCCACCAGGATACTTCTGGAAACAGGGTCATATGCGAGACGCCATTGAAGATCTTGACTTGCAGGTCATGCGTATGCGATTCTGCCACTTCGGCCAGAAATACGACCCATCTAATGCGTTGCCTAGCGGTTCATATCTGCAAGTGGCAACTACTCGTACGTGCGTCCCAACTAACTTGTGGAGGTGCACGTGTAAAACAGCAGGGAAACCTGCACAACTTACTGAGCGTGCCCTGACTGGTATGGACAAGGGGCTCAGAAGGCCGAGTGGCGTAACAAGATGTTGGCTATCATGGCCGCAAGACTGCTCGATCAAATGGATTTACACCAGACGCAGAGAAATCGCACAAGTGCTGTGCACCTTAGCATCCACACTCGAGTGGATAAAGGAGTTCGAACTAACGTTCAGTCCCCGAAGAATTGCCCTGAGTGGGACCACGTCGTCAGACGGGTAACGATGAACCTGGGCGATAATACGATCATGCAAGACATCAGGATCCAGGGCCAGCTTATCGGGCGCAATGCGATGCACTGTTACCACCGAGTTGTGTAACCAACATTCGTATTCGACTTTACTGGGAGCAGCCCGAACCGGCTCTCATCGGACACGGGAGCCCACGTTCAAGCCCAAGGCGAGTCGAGATCGTTGATGACGATCGTCTCCCTCCCCCTGCGATTGAGCGCGGCCGCGCGCTCCCCTCTATTTCCGGATTTCCGACGCTCAGTTCACCGGATGTTGCGCAACAGATTGAACAACAGACAGTACTACCGACCGATGCCCGAATCAAACAAAAAGAAAAGCAGAAAGCAGACAAAGAAGCGGGCATCAAACCACGCAAGATACCCAAGATAGTCGAAGCAGGCAACGATGACTGCGGAGATGACCTAAAAGGATTCGGATGTGGTGCGTACTACACCGACGTACCCCTTGACTCCGACACGGAAAGTGATGATGAAGAGGAAACCTGTATCACACTACCTGCGGGGCTACCTGCTGAATCCTACGCAGATGTATTCTCCATAGCTCCCACCTTGTGCTATGGGCGTCACAACAAGGTGGACATGCTGGAATTGGATGGAGGAAGGGGAGGCATCTCGCAGCTAGCATTCAGCCGAGGTTTGTCCTCAAGGGGAAACCTCGACAAACGCTCCTTTATGGACGCTGGACACAAGGATATTCAAGATGCAGTGATGCATTATCTAGACGTTTGTTTCGTCAAAGTTTTTATACTACAACCCAACTGCAGAACGAGTGGGCTACCTTCCTATTTCAACGCTCAGGTCAACTACGATACCTGGTATGAGCACCACAAAGTTGATCTGCCGCATACCAAATTCTGTGGTAAGGTTGCTATACGTCAGAAAGATCTTCGACGGTCTTATCTACGTGAACAACCAGTGGGTACTTGGGTGGATCAGGTACCACCATTGACTACATTGGCCAACAGCAAGGGCACTTGCAAGGTGAATATGGACCAATGCACTACTGGTTTACGCGATGCCCATGGGGTACTGGTACGAAAGCCGACAGATCATGGCCAACCGCCGCCTTCTACTGACTCCTTTTGAACGAAGACGATGTGCTGGTCATCGTCAACATGCACTGGTTTGTGACAGAGAACTGCCCATGGCTGCACATTGCACTCCGAAGGTGCAGTCGCTCTTTGTCGATGCAGTTCAGATCGCGCGCCATCTCTTCCCGGCAAACCGTGGTCCTTTCCTTGGTCACCCTTATTCTTCCACTGTGTGAGTTACCAACGTGAGGGGATGTGATTGGACGATCCGACTTCTCCCTCGGCAACCCGACGGTTCGATCGTGAGACCACCTTCGGGAGGGCTTGGGTGTCCCGCGTGCGCGGATAATGTTAACATGTTCTCTCCCTCGCATGACGGAAATCCTAGGCATTGCAGGTGGTACGATAAAGAAGACTACCGTTGGGAATGTCCGAGCTGCAAGAAGAACTACGGCCAGAACAAGCCTGGACATGTCCTGACATCTGGCAAATGGAAGTTTGCCAAACCCTGGAAGCTGCCAGACAATCATGGACAGGTACCGCCGGCTCCTGCCGAACCGGGGGCAGGACCTGCACCGCCGGCTCCTGCTGAACCAGCAGCACCACCACCCGAGGTGCCAGCCGCATCACCACTCACGCGGCTAAGAGCACCAAGGCCTGGCTCTAGAGGCAGACCTACAGCGGGTGCGAGCAGTCACGATATTACCGTATGGAGACACGCTGCTGAACCTGCTGCAGGGCAACCTGCCTCGAGTGGAGCTGGGTGTTCGGATGGCCATCTCCGACTGCCACAGGTTAGAGTCAGACGTGGCCGACAGCAAGGTGGAGATGCACCTCCTCCACCACCAGCGGGTAACCCTGCTGCCCGACCACGATTTCCAGACTGGTCACGCTTTGACGTGCAATTCAGTCTACAAAATCTACGAAGCCTTGACCCAAGCGTGGTAACACGCGAGTTGCGGAAACTACACTTGCGCTGGTTCCATGCGAAAGAGCTTAAGGTGAGACTCATCTTAACTAAGATAGGTCTGGACAACGTCAGACTCAACCTGGTTAAAGGTGTCTGCGACGCATGTCGGGAGTGCAGGGCTTGGGACAAGCCTGGGCATGCGGTTATGCCCTCCACTGCACTGCCTGGTACATTTATCGAAGATGTGGGATGTGACCTGATGTTCGACAAACAAGAGCACGACATCTTTCATATCATCGATCGTTGCATTCGATATGCTACTGGAATGGAGGTACCAGACAAGACAATGACCAGTATCCTGGAAGCATATTATCAGTGCTGAACGCAGTTTGGACATGCAAAAGTATTCTACTCCGACGGAGAGGGTGCCCTCACCAACGACACTGCGAAAGCAGTCCTTAAGGCAAAGGGCGCTGAATTTAGGATGCGTGCGCGTGGCCGGCGCGCTACGGCGATCGAAGTCGGAAATGGCATTACGCCAGATATTTCATGCCATGGAAGCTGAACTCAACAGGTTGGACATATCTCTTGTGCTCAGACGACTACTGCACGAGGCCTTGTTCGCCGCCAACGCGTTCACCTTCTGCGAGGAGGTGTCTCCGTGCAACGCTCTGTTTGGACGGCAACCAGCAATGCTTCCAGACTTACCTGTCTTGGACCACGAGCAGCCGACGGAAACGTCGGACCATTCTCGTGCACAGACGATACGCAAGGTATGCATTGAAGCCATCACACAGGCCACAGCAGTCGCTAAGACTAATCGTGCCTTACGCACTAAGACAATTGGCACCGGTCAGCATTATTACGATGGAGGAGACTTGGTCCGTTATCATCGCCCCGCAACCGCGAGGGACGACTGGGGGGGCGGGAATGGTCCATTCCGAGTTGTCAAGAACGATCCCGAAAAGGGGTCAAGTCATAATCCGAGTGGGCAACCGAGATGTTAAGTACAATACGGGGATGCACGACGTTCAC